AAGGCCACTATGGACAGATATCTTTTGCGAAAGAAATCCAGTGACTCTGAAGCTGGCCCTAGTGGCATTAAAAGAAGAAGGGAAGTAACCCCAGAAAAGGACTTACTACCTCAAGTCCTAATGGAAGGGGATTCCCCTTCTAAACACTAACACACTCTCTCCCCTCCTCCCATCCCATCAATCATCACCAGTTTTTCAATAAAAGTAAAGTGTCATTTAATTGTGCATGCCTTTTTTTAGTTGTGTGTTTTTAAAATTAACATTTCATGTGGTAAAAAAAAATTTTTTCATACTTTTGGGCGTCTTGCACGGATTAATTTTATTTCCATTATTTCTTATGGGGAAAATTCATTCGCATAACGATTATTTCGCATAACGATGAGCCCTCTTGCACGGATTAAAATCGTTAACCGGGGGTCCACTGTATATATAAATTTTTATATATTAATATATATATAAAATATATTTTTATATATATATATATTTATATATATTTTAAAATATATATATATATATTATATATATATATAATATATTATATTAAAATATATAATATATATATATATATATATTTATTATATATATATATATTTTATAATATATATATAATTATATATATATATATATATATATTATATATATATATATATATATATTTTATATATTATATATTATATTATATATATATTATATATATAAAGACCTAGGCAGAATGGGTTTTTGAACAAACTTCTTGTATAACTTTATAATTGTTTTCTAAGGAATTTAAACAAAAAACCTGTATTAGGTTTACTGGCACCCAAACTTTGTTCTTTGAGCCATTCTGAAAATGTTTCATTTTTAAGTTTTTCCCAGAAATACAGTCTTACCATTCTTTTTTTTATACACTGCTCTTCAGATTTAAACTAGAGCTTGATTAGTTCATCATAGTAATTCTTATCCTTTATGTGCAGTTTTAACTTATTTTCCAAGTTATTTCTTAAATTGAGTTCTTTTTAATAGATTCTTGCATTATAAGGTGTTTTGCAGTTTGATTAATCTTGTATTGGTTTGCTTTCATGTCTGTTTTCACTCTTGTACAGTGCTAGTCACGGCAGTATGCCGCCACTCCCCCACACACGTACCAAAACACAAACACGTACCATGAAAGATTATAATATATATATATTTGTACACTTACTGAGGTTTTAATACTTGGTGCTGCATCCTTTACGCTTAATCACGTCCCTCAACCGTGCAGGAAGACTCTTACACAAATTCTTGAGGGTTTGGAGAGGTATATTCCATGCCTCATGTAGAGCAGCCTCCAGCTGCAGGTTATAACTGATATCCTTGCCCAGTAAACTTCATTTCACTATTGACCAGAGGTTCTCAATAGGGTTTAGGTCTGGGGAATTGCCTGGCCAGTCATTCAAGATCCTCGCTTCACATTCCTTAAGCCACTGAACTACAGATTTAGCAGTATGACATGGTTCACCGTCCTGCATAAACACCGTAGCCCCACACTTGCCAAACGTCTCATGTAAATTGTGTCACAGTAACTCCAGGTAATTACACTGGTTCATATACTGGTTTTTGGGAAGCACAATAAGTGATGAAAGATTGGATATCAGATTGGAGGGAGAGAGTATGGAGGAGGTGAATGTATTCAGATATTTGGGAGTGGACGTGTCAGCGGATGGGTCTATGAAAGATGAGGTGGATCATAGAATTGATGAGGGGAAAAGGGTGAGTGGTGTACTTAGGAGTCTGTGGAGACAAAGAACTTCGTCCTTGGAGGCAAAGAGGGGAATGTATGAGAGTATAGTTTTACCAACGCTCTTATATGGGTGTGAAGCATGGGTGATGAATGTTGCAGCGAGGAGAAGGCTGGAGGCAGTGGAGATGTCATGTCTGAGGGCAATGTGTGGTGTGAATATAATGCAGAGAATTTGTAGTTTAGAAGTTAGGAGGAGGTGCGGGATTACCAAAACTGTTGTCCAGAGGGCTGAGGAAGGGTTGTTGAGGTGGTTCGGACATGTAGAGAGAATGGAGCGAAACAGAATGACTTCAAGAGAGTATCAGTCTGTAGTGGAAGGAAGGCGGGGTAGGGGTCGGCCTAGGAAAGGTTGGAGGGAGGGGGTAAAGGAGGTTTTGTGTGTGCAAGGGGCTTGGACTTCCAGCAGGCATGAGTGAGCGTGTTTGATAGGAGTGAATGGAGACAAATGGTTTTTAATACTTGACGTGCTGTTGGAGTGTGAGCAAAGTAACATTTATGAAGGGGTTCAGGGAAACCGGCAGGCCGGACTTGAGTCCTGGAGATGGGAAGTACAGTGCCTGCACTCTGAAGGAGGGGTGTTAATGTTGCAGTTTAAAAACTGTAGTGTAAAGCACCCTTCTGGCAAGACAGTGATGGAGTGAATGATGGTGAAAGTTTTTCGTTTTCGGGCCACCCTGCCTTGGTGGGAATCGGCCAGTGTGATAATAAAATAAAAAAAATAAGTTCTCTGAAATACCCTCAAACCATGAGTGAGTCTGGATGTTTGGTGGTCCCATGGGTGTAGCATGGGTCTAGCGGGTCACTACCTCTGGGTCGGTACACGTCCCCCATGGTTACAGGTGACGGTGAAGGTTGCTTATCACTAGGTCAATTCATTGGCTTAAACTGGTGGGAGAAATGGACCTGCCTTGCAGGCCTGTTGCAGTGTTCCTTATGTTCTTTTGTTCTTATCACTCCAAAGTACTTCAGACCACTGTTGAGGATTCCAGTGAAGGTATATCTTTGCATAATCCAGCCTACATTTCTTCTGTGACTTGGAGAGGATCGGTTTCTTAACCTGGCGGTGACTACTGTAGCCCAGTTCTGACACACTTCTGTTAACAGTTCTTACAGACACCTCTGAGAGAAGATGTGGGTTGTTTTCTTTCAGTTCTGTAGCAGTTATCTTAGATGTACTCTAACTGCTTCTTTAACACAGTTAAGGTATGAGCTGATGTCTTCTTTGAGGGGCCAGGCCGAGGTTTGGCAGACGGTAACTCGACACCGCCACCAGCCTTAAAATGCTGCACCCAGTTCCTCACTGAACGCGCACACACGCCAACATTCTCCACTATTTCTTTCCTCTGGTGCCCAGCTTTATGAAGCCCTATGATTTGAGCTACAGTTTCAGGTGTTGAAGACTTCCTTTTTACCCATAATCGAACATGTATAGCCCCAAAACCAAAGGGAACACCGGACAAAAGATGGGGCGGATGAGAAACAAAACTGCAACGGTTCCTCTCACCACTGCAACCGCGTGAGCACTGAGGAGTCACTGTGGAGTGTGGCGGCAGGCCGTGATGTTTTGGTAACGGCTGCTACCCGGCATAATGCACTGACGAAAAAAGACCCCCCCTGTATGGTAGGCCTTTGATTTTTCTCATGGCATTATGCCAGGGCGCTCGCTCGGCATAATGCCATGACTAGCACTATAGATGACAGCGAGGAAATGGAAGGGCTTCTAGGGGTAGGGTTCCTGGATGTATCTTTCGAGAAGAATCCCATGTGTATGTTTACCTGAACAAACTGACTGATGTGTTCGGCTGACTGGCTGGCTTGCAGGCTGGCCAGCCTGTCTTTCAAGAAATATATACCAAGCAAACGTAATTGCTTGAATGACAGACAGAATTAAGGTACACATAAGTACAGTTATCATACATAGTGTAAATTACCAAAGATAACCCAAAAAAAGCCAGAGAAAAGCCTTTTTTTTTTTTCCTATACTGTGCTTTTAGATACAAGGCATAAGCATTACTGTGGCAAGTAATAAACATTTCGGCCACAGTTGTATCTTTCTACTTGTTCAGATGCAATGATTCTGCAACATGTAATTCCTGTTCGGCTAGTTTACGATCATTGATTCATACATACGTAGTCCAAACGATTCTCAGGTATGTGTTTGTTATTATTAGTTGATTCCTGAAGACCAGTTAATACATGCAGTGTTTACATGTGCTGCTATGTAAAATAATTTATTTAACTCTATTTGTGTATGTTTGCCTGAATAAACTTGACTTACTGTCTTACTGATTGGACAAACTTGACTGGACCGACTGGACTGGACTGACTATAGTTAGTGAATACCGACCATCTGAGGGAACGAGACTGCAATTGAGAAAGGGTGCCTGAAGATGAAATGCCTAACACTGAGATGTATTGCCGTTTCCATGACCAAAGTTTTCGTACAGCTCACAATACTGACTGGTCAGGGCTGGTTGTAAGTTTGTGCAGTTGTTAAACAGGTAGATCGTTAAGTGAGGAGTACCTGATGTATGTTCTTTAAGTCTGTTATGTAGTTTTCCGGAGGCTTCACCGACAAACCTTATGACGACCTCCATGTGGTATAGAGCATAGATGCTGTTCCCCTTTCTTGACGGTCTTTTATAGTTTTTAGTGTAATATTGGTTACTAATATTGCATTCAGCTAAGGTATTGGAAACGTATCTAGTTTTGTTGATGGGGAGGACAGTGTATCTGCTGGGTGTAGTTTTGGAACTAGTTGCATAGTGTCTTGACTTTACTCATTTACTGCAAGGTCAGGACACTGAAATAGGGCACTGAAAATGCATACCCTCAACAGAAACCCCAAGAACCACCTTATGAACTTTGCCGAAACAAGACATCATGCAAAATAACTGCTGCAAGAGATTGTCTAGAATCCGTAGTAATAGCCACAAGCAATAGCATCAGTCAGAATTCACAATCATTCATTCATCTTGGAAGTTCTAGCAGCTTGTTCTTCTAGTACCTGATACCACGATCACTTATCACTTAGCCGAATACTCACATGTGACTACATGACCTCAATCTTGTGTGTATTAATAGAGATCTTAGTGAATGAAATGTCTTCACAATAAAATGCCCTAATCATCATTTTCTTATTTACATGAGATTGTATTTTACACTTCATTGGTGATAATCACATGACTAAACTTCAAGCTTTATGGTTGAAAATCATTGTATTGCATTTTATACTTCATAGGTTCCTGCCTTTGAGACCAGTGATGGCAAGTACATCTTCGAGAGCAATGCCATTTCCTGGGCTGTTGCCAATGAACAGCTTCGTGGCAAGTGTGCCATGGACCAAGCTCAGGTTGTGGCATGGATGAGCTTTGCTGGTAAATTGATAAATGACAACTTGATTACTTTCGTCATACATGAGCGATTAACTTCAAAGTACAATAAAATTACAGTGAATCCTTAATTTAAGACCAATAGGTGTGAATGGATGGCCAGTAATGGCAATTGTGGAGGAAAGAGTTAAAATAGTTATGCCATGATTGTAACAAAAAGAAGATAAATCTTTAAGCAATGGACTTTGTTGCTTCTCACGTAAATAACCGGTATTTCCAAAGTCTGTTAATTAGAGGTCTGTTAAATCAAGGGTTTACTGTATATGAATAGGTTTTGAATGGATTTGATTGTTTTGGAGATTGTCAGCATGCTGTTTTCTTGGTATATACAGTAGCTATCATAAATATACACACCTATTTGCTTGACAGGTTCAAGAAGTGCCAGGGCAACTTTTGTATGGAAGACATTGCTCCTTGGAATGCTGTTAAAGACAAAAAGTGGTTAAATTGAGTTTTCTATACTCTGATGACTGGCCTGGAAACTCACTGGGCTTGAATCCAATAGAAAAATGTTTTGAAAATCGTTAAGCTTAAGCTTTGTGGCATGGACATATGCTTTAACACCAAAATCCTTCCTGAGTGCCATTAAGAAGGTATTGACTTCTCTGTTCTCCATAAGTTAGCTTTAATAGTGTCCAGGAGACTAACATCAAGATGAAGGGTAATCCTTCTAAATAATGATCTAGTATGTGAGGAACATGCGTTTCAGTATTGTATATTTATGTACAATGATAGGTTATGGTGAGCAGTCTTGTTTTCTGTGTGATGTGTTATGGGTGTGCATATTTATGATGCCAACTGTAGGTGATAAAGGAATAATTGGGACTTGTAGGAAGGGTATTAGTTTACTGCTTTGCTTTAAATTTTGATGGAAAGAGTTTGCAATCATTGCTTTATAAGAGCATAGTATTTGAACTAATATCAAATACCTTTTAACTTTTTTTTTTTAAAGTAAAAGTGAATACTGGTAGAAAAGGATGGCAATTATGTTAGTGTAAATTTAGATTGGATTTTTTTTTTTTTGCTTTATATTCGAGAGCTTGTTATTGCTTATTAAATGAAGACGAACACCATTATTATGAGCATGTTTGTTGCACCTGCCTGTGTATTACATCTTAGTTTCCAAGGGTGAAGGTAGAATGTTTTCTCTTTTTCCATGCACCAGGTGTACCAAAGTATGTATTTTAACCCTTTGACTGTTTTCGACGTATAAATACGTCTTACGAGCCAATGTTTCTGACGTATGTATACTCAATAATTCTAGCGGCTTCAAATCAAGCAGGAGAAAGCTGGTAGGCCCACATGTGAGAGAATGGGTCTGCGTGGTCAGTGTGCACCACATAAAAAAAATCCTGCAGCACACATTGCGTAATGAGAAAAAAAAAAGCTGATAGTTTTTTTTGGAATAAAACGCCGACTTTGAGGTGTATTTTCGTATAGTATTTATCGTTGTATTTGCGTTTTCATGGTCTTAGGTGATAAAATGGAAAACATATTACAGAAATAGAGATGATTTTCATTACTTTGACGATGAAAACGACCTTGAAACTGAGCTCAAAGTAGCAGAAATGTTAGATTTTTACCAATGTTCAGGAGTAAATAAATCACACCACACGTCCAATACACGTCAACTGGGGAGTCTAATATTCTTTCACTAGTGCACTGATATTATTTATACCATTTTTTACAATAATGCAGTAGTCTGCATAACAGTAAATTTTGTATTCTTTTGTATGAATAAAAAATCAAAATAGAAAGCAATAATATAAGAGGGGCCTAGAGATGTGACTAATGAACAGAGCATATGTTATTTTAGTGCCACGAATGTCTACCTTGTTTATTCTGGATCCTATTTTGAAATTGGCATCTTTTTTAGTTTGCATGAAATTGGCCAAATTGCCAATTTCTGACCACCATATTGGGTAGTCCAAATTAGTAAATGGGAGGTTTCTTGTACTCAGCTGATAGATAAAATGGAGTTCTAAAGAAATAGCTATGAGTTTGGTCAACTGGAACAATGGAATTGCCTGAAAATAGGGCTCAAAGTCGGCGAAATCGCCGATACGCATATGTCGCCGAGACCGCTAACTTCGCGGTAGCATAATTCCGTGAGTTTTCGACCAAATTTCGAACTTTGGTGTCATTACCATCGGGAAAAGATTCTCTATCATTTCATAAGAAAAAATAATTTTTTTTTTTTTAAAAAATTGAGCAACATAATGACAGTTTCAGAAAGGGGCCTGAAACAGTCAAAGGGTTAATGGGTATCGACTGTTTTTCCTAGGTACACTGGTACCTCTAGATACGAACAGCTCAAAATTCGAACAGTTATGGAAGTGCTTTTGTAAGTGTATTTTTGGGGGTCTGAAACGTATTAATCTAATTTACATTATTTCTTACGGGAGCAAATTCGTTTGGTATCGGCACTCGAACAGTCTTCTGGAACGAATTAAGTTTGTATCCTGAGGTACCACTGTAGTAGGTTGGTACAGCAACTGCCCAGGGAGGCACCATCCTGCAAAGTGAGTGTAAAATGGAAGCCTGTAATTGTTTTATATTATAGTAGGATTGCTGATGTTTTTTTTTTCTGTCAGAAATACAAGGCTTGCTGCTTCTATTTACACTTAGGTCACACTGCACACACGTCTTCTTACAACAAACCGACCATATTCCAATGAGGCACGGTGTCTTCCACCCCCCCCCCCCAAAAAAAAAAAAAGTTTCTCCTTGTAAATTTAGTAATTTGTATATACAGGAGTAGGGGTTACTAGCCCCCTTGCTCCCAACATTTTAGGTCTTTTATGACATGCATGGCTTAGAGGAAGAATTCTGTTCCAATTCCCCATTGAGACATGTTATGTACAAACATATATATACATACCCCTTTGAGTTTTCTTCTACAGTAGGCCCCCACTTATATGGCATGTTAGGTTCCAGGCTACTGCCAGAAAGCAGACATTGCCAGAAAGCAGAACACCATTTTTTCCACTTACAAATGCATATAAATCCCAGGTAACAAGCTTATACTAAAATATATTATGTTAGCAATAGAATTAGGCATTAAAAGCAATAAAAAGTAAACTACACAATTTGTAGGAAGTCAGGTTTAGGAGGTATGGTAGCCAGCCAGATCAGCCCACCCCACCCACACATAACATTTAACCCTATGACTGTCGCAACCCCAAATCCTGAAGTCTTTCCTGGTGTCGAAAAAATTTTTTGAAAAAAAAAAAAAAAAAAAAATTCTTATGAAATGATAGAAAATCTTTTCCCGATGGTAATGACACCAAAAGTACGAAATTTGATTGAAAAATTAGGAAATTACGCTCCTGTGAAGTTAGCAGTCTCGGCGATGTATATGCATCGGCGATTTTGCCGATTTTGAGCCCTATTTTCAGCCAATTCCATTGTTCCAGTCGACCAAACTCATAGCTATTTGTTTAGAACTCCATTTTTTCTATCAATTGAGTACAAGAAACCGCCCATTTACCGATTTCAACTACCCAATAAAGTGGTCAGAAATTGGCAATTTGGCCAATTTCATGCAAATTAAAAAAGATGCCAATTTCAAAATAGGGTCCAGAATAAACAATGCAGACATACTTGACACTAAAATAACATATTCTCTGTTCATTAGTCAAGTCTCCAGGTCCCTCTTATATTACTCTTGCTTTCTATTTTGTTTTTTATTCACACAAAAAATAGAAGATTTACTGTTATGCAGACTACTGCATTGTTGTAAAAATGGTATAAATAATATCAGTACACTAGTGAAAGAATATTACTCCCCAGTTGACGTGTATTGGACGTGTGGTGTGCTTTGCTTACTCTTGAACATCGATAAAAATCGAACATTTCTGCTATTTTGAGCTCAATTTCAAGGTCGTTTTCATCGTGAAACTAATCAAAATCATCTCTATTTCTGTAACATGGCATCTGTTGAAATTTGTTTGAAATCGGCCAAATTGCCAATTTCTGACCACTTTATTGGGTAGTTGAAATAAGTGAATGGGCGGTTTCTTGTACTCAGTTGACAGACTAGAAGTAAATAAGTTTATTCAGGTATACACAAATACAGTTACATAGATTATCATACATAGCAGTGTATGTATAGAGAACCTAGGATAACCCAGAAAAGTCAGTGGCTTATTTCCAGTACCTGGCTTGGGCTTGCCATATATGATTTTCGGTAAATTTTTTTTTTCTCGGTTGTTTGTTGGGCTATCTCATTGAAACTTGGGCAATATATGATGGAAAGATGCTTCTTAACATACAACAAAAATAAAAAAGACGGACGATAAATAAAGGAGTTCACTTCTCAGCCATTAGCCGCCTCTTTGCAGTATATTTTCGTATAGTTTTTATGGTTGTATTCTCATTTTTTGGATTCATTTGATAGAATGGAAGATATATTACAGAAAGACATGATTTTGATTGCTTTCATGAGGAAGAGTACCTTGAAATTGAGCTCAAAGTAGCGGAAATGTTCGATTTTTGCCAATGTTCAATGAACTGTGTAAGTCAAGTTGGTTAATTTTATTAAGTGTATTCTAACCCAACCACTCTGTAATTCGGCAAACTCAGTAATCCGGCACACTACAGGTCCCAATGATGCCGGATTTGTGATGGAGGACCTGTACACATATACAGTCACAGGGAATGTTTCAAGAAGTGCATGGTGTTATGCACAGTGGTATTTTACACTCCTCACACATAAACTAGTGTCTCTGCGATGTTGTGGGCATTTTTTTTTTGTGTATGCACAGACATAACACCTCTTCTGAGCCTTTTTCTTGAAAGCAGTAGCAGGCAGTTTTACTACGAAGTGATCACCATCCTTCAGACAAGAAGGTAGTTGTTGATAATTTAGTGGGCGGTCTATTGCAGGTGTTGTTCCTTGGTACTTGAATACGATTTGTGTGATGACAGACAAAACAGAATTCGCCATATGATGGTTTGTTTCTGGTCCTCATCTTATATATATT